ATGGGTTTTCATGTTTTTGCCTCGTCGCTCTGGCCTGACAGGGCATCACAGTATGGTAAGGGACGTAACATTTCCGTCACACGCTTGAGGTATTCGGCCAATCATAACGCACTGGATAGCTGGCCAATCACAGCACACCTTGCTTTTCAGACCGATGAGCTTTGTAAAAATCAACACATTTCAGAAAGGCGGGGCATAGATGAGAAACAATAATGTACAGTATGTGGAAAAGTATGTGTTTTTTAGCCTTAAACCGCATTAAACACATTTCATTACACCAAATACACAAAATAATATTCTTTTTAGCAACATCATATGACCCCTTTAAAACTTTGCAGGATGTTTTCATTCACTTTGAGCTGTGTTACACACTGCATGAAAGGTAATTTTCAAAAATCCATAATAGGGGCACTTTAAATGCCTTTAATATAGTCTATACCTTATTCGCGTAAAATGTTATTTTGACTAATATCTGACTAGCATTATGTTACAACAACCAACATTTTATTTTAAGGGTTAGATTAGGTAATGTATGAGAAAGTTCCTCTATGAGAAAGCTGTATAGAGGCACAGGCTTCTATAAAAACAGACCCACCCAACCTCTCATTTCATAAACTTGGACTAAATTTCCTGCTTCAGTTCTTAAGACAAAACATGATATTCAGCAACACAATAAGGGGCTCTTGGTTTAAATATAGATGCACAATCAAATTTTTTCATCATTTTGATAGGCCAGTTTAGCTTCAGCAGTATATCAATCTGATCCACCAAGTGATGTTTTTGTGCATAATGGTAATAATAAAGACTTCAAGAATATAATATTATAAATATTTAATGCTCCAGCAGCTCTATATTCTTCAATGTAGTACTGGTAGTTACTACAGCAAGAGAGTTTCACACTTTGATGTGTTGTGGTTTATGTTGAGAGGCTTTAGATTCACAGATGAGAAAGGTGCTATCCATCTTTCCATTCATGTATGAAAAGGTCACACTATGTCTAGTTGGTATATAAAATGATTATTCACAAGAGCCATGGAAATGACACCATCAGCAAGAAAAGCTACCTACGCACAGATCTGTGACATGCAAAATCACATCTGTGCACAAGTACTTGCTCTGAACGTCGAGTTGAGTTTCCACATATTCAAAATGAATGTCCAGGCAAATTTGCATTCAAATCATTCAATTGTGGCTGGATTTGCACTGCTGGCTGGCACTGAAAGTCAATTAGAAGTTTATTATGATTTTCCCATTCTCTCTCCTTGTGCAACCCTGTGTTTCTGATTACAATGTGAAAACTCTAGTTGAGTAATTACGGTCATATTTTGGGAATGTTGGTGCACAACAGTATTTACACAAGTGAGACATGTTGCTGAAGTCACAGAACTGAGCAACACCTTCTCAGATCTGCTGTCATGGTATTACATTAAAACTACTTTGCACATTAGCAAAGCTTTTAACTTTACTGTTATTATTTAAAATACAATAATTGAGAGTAAACTAAAGTGCTGACTTTTCAAAGAGCTGTCTCTTTTCTAATTAGTTCTTCAGTCGGTGAATAAATCACGTGCAACCATAACAAAATTTCTGACACCATAGAAGGATTTTTTTTCCCTAGCCTTAGCTATGGCCTCATTTGGAAATATTTTTTATATTCACATTATCTCCAAAACCAGTATTTTACAGGTTATTTGCTACCCTCCGTTGGCTCGTTAAATCTCACTTTTAGCTCAGATCTCCCTATAAGGGCAAGGTCATGAACAGATTTTGGCTGACTGCATATTAATGACTCTTAACAGACAGTCAGGTGAAACTGAGGAAAACTTACATGAGCTGTAAATGACTACATTAAACAAATACTCAAAGTTATTACTTCAAGAATGAGCCAAATAACAACTGAGAGTAGCAAAGACAAAAAAAAGTTGTTACATAGGAAGTGTGTGTGTGTGTGTGTGTGTGTGTGCATGCTATGCTCACTTAAGGCGCATGACCAAAGGATCCTCCAGCTTTACCTACAGTTTGTTCCTCATATCCTTATTGACACAGGGAGACGTTTACAATGCCTCAGCCCACTTATCAAACAGGAGGAAAACTTCATTACCACAAAAAATGTCCTCTGTCAGTTTTAAGTTATTTTGTTAAGTTCAAAAACAATGTCATTATAATGGAAAAATAGAAACGCTGTCAGCATTTTTCCCAGATATGAAACATCATGCATTTCCTGTAAATGGAGCAGAGTAAAACCCAGAAAAATTCTCCAGAACTCCCTCAGAGTAACCACTAATGATGCCCTCATTAGTATTAGATTACATTTCCTGTTGGTATTGGATATCTTAAAGCACTTGGATTTTATATGTTATGGTTTTGCAGTCCCTGCACCCAAACTTTATAATGTTTTGTGATGTAATTGCATATCATTATGATGATAAGATTCATATTTAAAGTAACAGTTCACCCAAAAATTAAACTTTGTTGAAAACATACTCACCCTCAGACCATCCAAGATGTAGATGAGGATTGTTTCTTACAAACATGCAGCTTCTCACCTCACAAGACGTTAACTGATGGACTGGAGTGGTGTGGATTACTTGTGGATTATTGAGATGTTTCTATCAGATGTTTGGACTCTCATTCTGACGGCACCCATTCACTGCAGAGGATCCTTTGGCGAGCAAGTGATGTAATGGTAAATTTCTCCAAATCTGTTCAGATGAAGAAACAAATTTATCTAGGATGACCTGAGGGTGAGTAAATTTTAAACAACATTTCATTTTCAACTATTTATTTATTACTTCAAATTAATAGTATCGAAATATTATGACAATGTAAATATATGCATTTTTTATCTTAATTTATAGGATGGTTTTTATGCACACATAACTCTTTCTGACTGATGTGGGTGGGATGCTAATATTTAGGAAATGTTTTGTTGTAAATGTAATCTGCTCTTTGCTTTTTTATGCACGTGTGTGAATGTAGAGCCGAGAGATAATATCATCCATATGGATAATCTATCCTCCACCCATACCCACAAAATATGTAAATGTGCCACTCCTTCCTGTTTCAGTAACATTACTGCCCATTAAGCATCAAGTTTCAGAGTTTAGCAGCCATACATGCTGTGACTCCAGTGTGCAAAGAACTGTGTGATGACACTTATGCAGAGTATTTTACATTTTAATGAATATACTACAGTCAATTATTTACAGTCACACACAAAACTGTTACATTAGCAATTTCCATGAGAGCCAATGCTGCGTAGCCATCAAGAACAAAAATCACAGAGAATAATATTAGTGATATCAGCTTATCTTAAGTCATATACTGTATCTAGAGCAAATCATCTTGAGCTAACAAAGTTAGCTTTCTGCATGTGAATATCTTTGGTAACCTAATGGATTTCAGTATTAGGCATATTTAAAAATTAATGAATGATGTCATGCAAATATATTATGCACAACCCCAAAAGTGAAGAGAAAGAAGACATTTCTGAATCACTAGCACCATGTCACCCTTACGTTGTTAGAGCTGCTGTACTAAGCATTATACACATGCAAACTGTTTACTACAACAGAAGAATTTTGAAAGTGTGTAGCTGACAGATTTTGGCACACGCAGTGCATTTGACTGTGTTTATTTAACATGCATTTACTCATTTTAATACTCGTGGTCTGTGAAGGGTTGATGTGTAAACTGCCATTGCTGTCTGTTTGAAAACTGCGGCCTTCTCAGGCAGGAACTGCAGAAAAAAAACGCATCTTCAGTCAAAGGTAATGTATTCATATACGAGACAGAGTTTGTATCGCAAACTCTGTGTACTGTAGTAGACTGTGTACAATTCTAGCAGTTCCCGTTGTTACCGTAGGGGAGGTTCATATATTGGGGGGAAATCACCAGAGATTGCAGAGTAACGCTGTGTGCTGCGGAGTAGCCAGACTGTGTTGTGTACCTTGCATGCATTTATATTAAACGACCATACTCCAGTCCTGCCTTTAGTGTGATTTTTCATGCCAAGTTACCACACTCTGCTTAACAGATATCATGCTGATTGAGATTAAACACAGAGATAGAGATAGTATTTTATTTACACATGCATGTTTTTTCCATTCTAATTTAACGCAATCTAATCCTTTCTGGAAGCAATCTAATCTTCTAAACCATTCTAATCTAGATTTCTAGAAGTTCAGACATGATAACTTGAGTCATGTCATGTTTAAAGGTTTGTCTAACCAGGATAAAGTGTATTGACGTATTGAAGATGTTCACAGCTACAGTATTGTTTTTTCAGCTAATCATTCTGTTTGCTAAGGAATTCTGTCTTTTCAGTCAGACAAGGATTAATCAGCTCTTTACAAGACAATCTTTTTAATTAATATTATTTCACTATTTTGTTTCTTCAGTGCTCTTTAATCTATGTCTGTGCAGGTTGCATCACTGACTGTAAACAAAAATACTGTACAGCTGTTTCCACAAACAAATTAAGCAGCAAAAACAGTTTTCAACATTGATAATAATGAGAAATTATTATTACTAACTGAGCACCAAATCGGCATATTAGAATGATTTCTAAACGATCATGTGACACTGAAGACTGGAGTAATGGCTGCTGAATTCATAGGAATAAACAGCATTTTAAAAGATATTAAAGCCTTGGTGAGCATAAGAGTTTTTTTTCAAAAACATAAAAAATATTAATTATTCCAGACTTCTGACTGGTATATGTGCATTTATGCATTTTGTTTCATCTGTATTTAATTCACCACAGCTTGAAAACTAGTTTCATTACTTGCGCTTTAATAGTAATGTTAAAAACTTTCAATTTAGTAAATTGTAGTGAAATTATAGCGCTTTAAAACAGCATTTTAATGCCAGCAGAGGGCAATCACACCCATCAGTCAGTGTGGGAGAACAGCAAAAGGGGGTGTGACTCCATGGACCCCTATTGAGAGGGAGCAGCCATCCATAGCTTTGATAAGAGAGCTGCTCTCTGGTCACTGCAGAACACAGAGCCTTTTGGCACAAGGGATCCCAAACTGCAGCAGTGCCTTCATCAGTGTCTTTGCTTCAGCTTCAGCCTCTGCCATCTGTTTTTAGTTTCTGATTTTGAAGCAATTTCCTCTGACTTGTATATTACTGGACTTTGCCTTGAAGATGGGGATACGAGATTATAAATTGATTTATCTTATGACACTGGCTTTGCTTCTGAGTGCTTGTGCTTCAGAAGCGAAAAGAGGAAGTCAAGACAAGACAACTGTTGGCAAGGATAGTTTTAATCAAGATGATTCACAAGAAAGCACACCGCAAGAAGTGTTCCGTGTGGAAGATGACGATAAAGGAACCATGGTCACACAAACTACAAGTCATTTGGCCTTCACAGAGATGGCCAATTCGTCACTGGCTGAAAATAGAAACAGCACTGAAATAACTAGTGAACAGGTTCCTAATGGTGATCCAACAAAAAGGAGCATCACAAAAATCCAAAATCCTTTGTTTCCCATTACTGACAGCTCTTACAGTGCTTATGGGATTCTCTTTTTGGCTTTTGTGGTGTTTGCCTTTGGCATCGTGGGTAATCTGGCGGTAATGTGCATTGTGTGGCAAAATTACTTCATGAGGAGCGCATGGAACTACTTTCTTGCAAGTCTGGCTTTTTGGGATTTTCTGGTGTTGTGCTTCTGTCTGCCTGTGGTGGTCTTTAACGAACTCACCAATAAGAGGCTTCTGGGAGATTTCTCCTGCAGAGTTGTGCCTTACATAGAGGTAAGGCCCTTCTAAGGCATTGTCAAGTTTACATTTAGTCTTGATCAATTTCTCATGGTCTAATGTACCTGAAAAATATATCTTAAATGTAGCTAGTGCCAATATTTTTTAACAGGAACTTTTAAATTCCGATACAGTATTAATTCTGGATTTCTAACACTGCAGTAAAATAACCCTGTAACTTTAACTTTAGTTTTCATAAAACACACAGAATTAACTATTTTAAACACCCATGTAAGTAGTCACCTAAAAGTCCTTACAAATCTACATGTAAATCTTTATGATTACTATTTATGACAATCAAGAGTGACGCACACCATATCGGTTATATATTATTTGACAATGTTGCAGATTTTTGATTTATCATTGTTGATCAATATAGGATATTTAATTGTGCACTTCCTCTTATTTTAACATATCAATTACCTTTGTCATCATCTAATGCTCATTTAAAGTTTATCTAGTAATTGTAACTTTAAGTAAGCTAGTGTTATTTAGTAACACTGTCAAATGTAAAATAATTTAATTAGTAATTAGTCAAATTCAGATGAATATCAGTTTTTCATACTTTATATTATACTGTTCTGATTCCTAAATTCACTTGTAGCATTTATTTATTTTTTGTAGCCTAACTAAATCTCTTAAGGTACCACTATCTATGTCATTATATATTTAAATATTTATATTATATTTAATAATAATAGCATTTCACGATAACATGAAATTTCACATAACATGAAAATAATTACCACAGTTTTAATAATCTAATAATTTATTTTTACTGTATCTCATGAAAAAACATAATGAAAACACAAACATATATTATATGATTATAACAATAATGATTTTTTTGCACACCCTCCAGGTAACCTCTCTTGGTGTGACAACCTTCAGTCTGTGTGCTTTGGGCATTGACCGCTTCCACGCTGCCACAAGCTCTATGCCAAAGGCCCGACGAGTTGAGCGCTGTCAGAAGGTCCTGGCTAAGCTGGCGGTGGTTTGGATTGGCTCCATGGTGCTAGCGGCTCCTGAGCTGCTCCTGTGGCAGCTGCATCAGGTGACACCACCTAGTCTGGGTCACCAAGTGGACACCTGCATCATGAGTCCATATCCAGATCTCCCCGAATCCATCTATTCTCTCATTATCAACTACCACGATGCACGCATGTGGTGGTACTTCGGCTGTTACTTCTGTCTGCCTGTTGTCTTCACCCTGCTCTGTCAGCTGGCCACATGTCATGTATCCGGCGGGAGCGGAAGTTCTTCTAAGCGGCCCGAGGAACGATCTCCATCCAAAAAACAAAAGCTTCAGCACGCTCAGCAAGTCGAACGGCAGCTCAACTGCACGGTCATGGCTCTAGCAGTCGTATATGGTGTCTGTACACTGCCAGAGAATGTTTGCAACCTGACTTTGGCGTATGCTCCCATCCAGGTGTCTGAGGTGGTGACTTCTCTTCTGGCCCTCATAAACCAGTTCTTTCTGTTCTTCAAGTCATCTGTGACACCAGTGCTGCTGCTTTGCCTGTGCAAGTCTCTGGGCCAGGCCTTCATGGACTGTTGCTGCTGCTGCTGTGAAGAATGCCAACCGAGCAACTCTTCATCTACCCAAAATGTCGCTGAAGGCAAGCTCAAGACCACAAATGACGTGTCCTCCATTTTTTTTGACAAAGCCAAGGACAGTTCAACCATCTTGTCCATTGGCAGCTGAGTAGGTGGATCCCGTCCCTAAGTGATGACATCATGAGATGACATGGAACCTACAACCTACCTTCTTCCCATTATCCACAAGTGGTCATCTTTACATTAGCAGTTCTTACTGTTATGTTGGAGCAAGTTAGCTTTGCAATTTGTCCAATTTGCAATTTTGGTTTTGGTACAAACTTAGTGGGTAAAAATCATTTTTTAGTTAAGATCTAAGTTCTAAGTTTGGCATCTGAAGGCTAATTCGCTCTAAATTATGTTCACAAATCTGAAGATTAATTCCATAATATCTCAGGATGGCTCAATGTACCTATAAATTCTTAAAATGATAATTCACCCAATAATTTACTCACCCTCGCGTCATTTCAAACCATTGACTTTTTCTCATCTGTAGAACACAAAAAAAGATATTTTGTAAGACGTCTCCATGTTTATGTCCACACAATGGAAGCCAGAGGGCTCCAGTGTTGTTTTGGACCCCAGTGACTTTCATTGAATGGACAAAACAATGTTTCATTGTATCCACTTTTGTGTTCTGCAGAAGAAAGGAAGTCATACCGGGTTGGAACAACATGAGGGGGTGTAAAAGATGCCACAATTTTGATTGTTGGGTGAACTATCCCTTTAATATATCACCAGGGTCTCCATTAAGTCACTGTAATTTTTACTTCAAATGTCCCACATTCATAGATCTACTTTTCTGTACAGACAATGAATTTTACACATAGCTCTGAGTGTATAAATATTCATTATATCAGAAATGCAGTGAATACTACCAGATCACAAATAACACATCATCTTGTTCATATAATAGGAAAACTTGTGAAACAAAAATGTAAGGAGTTTTTGTCTGTTACTCAGGCAAATGCTATTTATCACTAATTTTAATTAATGCCTCTTTTTTCATAACCACTGAACATTGAACATTGGTCTACACTGTTGATTGTGAACTTCTGTATATAAGCACTCAGCTGTATTAGAATGTAAATAGATCATTTTTGAATGCAAACTCCCTGAGCAAACTAGCTTTTCGAGCCCCTTCATGTAGTATGGTGAGACAAAAAGACAGAATTTGAATGGTGTACCTCCTCAAGGGATTATTGTAACTTTGCATATAGCTGCTTTCATAAGCAAATTCTTTTAAAAGTCCATAAACAGTTTATAAAACTCTATTCAGTAAATGTCTTTAAATAATTTATGTTGTCTTATTCATCTTTGAAATTGCAAGAAATAGTGTCAAGAGTTGTACTAATCTCTCAAATGTCCATCAGGGCCTGAGGGAGAAGATTTGTCCTTAAAGACTTGGTTTCTTCATTCCCTTAAGGTTTCTATTGTTCTGAAAAGGAGATGGAAGCTTCTACTGTGAATATCAATAGCCAGACTACGGCTGAGTTGCCAAGATACCGTCTAAAAATTCACGTGTTTTTTCCAGAATGGCCAAGTGTGAACAAAAAACCCACTTGGATTTGCCACCTTTTCTTGTCAATGTAGGAATCAAAGAATTCATCAGTAGTACAACGTTTGTACGCTTGTCATGTTCGTCGGTGTGCTGACCAGTACGTATGGAAGCAAGCTTAGACACTGAAAGGAGTCATTAGTCATATAAAATACGTGTTTTTTCAGATGGGCTCTCGAAAAACTCATCTTCAAATTGATTATCTAACATTCAGTGGACCGTGAAAGATATTAAACTAAATCAAAGATACAAATGTTTGGGTTAGACTGACGTGTGTTGTTGCAGGGGTTGTTGGGAGGGGGCTGGACCTCTTCTGTCTTGTGGTTTTGGCTTGCGCTCAGAGCCTTTCAGAGATTCAGAAGACAAGTGAGAGAGGTAGAGAATGGCCTCATTAGAGAAGTGAGGAGGGCTTTAAGAGAGGAGATCCACTGGCCATTATGACTGCAGGAGAACAGACAAGGCTCTGTTCTCCGTAATGAAGTTTGTGCCACAAATCAACAAATCTCTTCACAACACTCATTATGACAGGAAGCATTATACTACAGTAAATCATGGATATAATAAAAACAAAACATTAAAAGAGGTAGTTTCAGGTATATTGGTATATAGGTATATTTCAGTATATTCACTTTTGGATTTGGAAAGTACAATTGTGATTTACTTCATGTTAATTCAGTTGCATTCAAATTTACTCTATTTCATTGTCCAATTAAGCATGACAGCTCACATTAGATGTTCAGTGTCATGAGTTCTTATTGAGGTCACCTCCAGGACAATGTCATTTTGAACAAGAGGTACATCTCCCACTAGACAAACATATATTTGACGTCATGTTCCAAAACTCCAAGATAAAAAAAGGAGACTGACTGATTAGTCAACATAAAAGCACCTAATGGTTTTAGAATTTAATGTGATGCATTTATTATAAATCTATTTAAACGCCAGACTTGGAAGAAGAAGAAAAAGCATTGTGCAAGATTGTGCATCTGCAGGCGTGGCATTTTTCTGAAGGGCTAAAGAAACAAGCTCTAATTTAAAAAAATGTATTTCCAAACGAAGAAGTTGCAACTTAGCATGTCTGTGTACAAAATTCACGGTTTAAAATCATTTGTCACTGTATATAAGTCACAACTCAAACAAAGAAACCACAGAGTTGTTAAATGGCAATAGTAACAGTAACACAGTAATACGGTTCAGTTCGTTTCAATTCATCAGTTTATATATAATTGGGCCCTTAAGACATTACTTACATTCTACAAAGTTTTCCAAAGACTAAATCTGTCAAGTGTTGTGTATGAACTCTTTTGCATATATATATATATATATATATATATATATATATACAGACTAAATCTAACCTAAACATAGGAGCCTGGTAAAAATGCTCATTTAAACGAAAAAAAAATCTCAGAAAAATTCACGGTTTAAAATCATTTGTCACTGTATATAAGTCACAACTCAAACAAAGAAACCACAGAGTTGTTAAATGGCAATAGTAACAGTAACACAGTAATACGGTTCAGTTCATTTCAATTCATCAGTTTATATATATATATACAGACTAAATCTAACCTAAACATAGGAGCCTGGTAAAAATGCTCATTTAAACGAAAAAAAAATCTCAGATGGAATTTTTTCGCATCTAAAGCCTTCATATATGTAATATAATAATTAAATAATAATATAATAATAATAAATATCTAAAATAATAATAATATTTATTATTAATAGGATGGATAGATTGATATGCCTTTTTGCAGGGGCAAACACCTCACACGTTCTTCAGAAAATGTAAAAATGTATGTTGCATATCAATGTCAAAACAAACCCTCAAAATGTGAGTTTATCTGAATATATGCATAATACATCACTCAACACTGCACCTAAAACAAGAAATCCCAAAATGAATGTTGAGAAACGCTCTGGTTACTAACAACCGGTTACTACAACCTCCTGAGATTCCCTGAGATAAGGGAACGAGCATTGCGTTGACACGCTTATGGCGGAAACTCCTGTTTACTCTGATACCGAAGCCTGATTTGTTCACATTCTTGTAGCTGCACAAACCAATGGGGAGGTCCGACCTTTATATAAGTCGGCTCTGAGCACCATTTCGTCAGAATCTTTCGACTGAAGCGACAGTCATCGATTTGTGTGAAGCCATATAGCACTGCAGCCTACACAACGCCCCGTTCCCTTATCTCAGGGAACTGAGGTTACATTAGTAGCTGGAGTGTTTCTTTTTGAACGGACTCTCCCGTTGCATTGACACACTTATGGGGAACACATCCAATAGTGCTGTGCTATAAGCAAGTGCAGAACGATGCCGCTCTGCGAGCCCAGCACAGACACTCATACTGAGGGCTCCTGTAAGCATGAGCCAAAGCCATTTAGGCTGAGGACTACATAACATAACCCTCTCCACTTACAAAAGGGATTAGGTAGTATTAAGCAGACAAAATCCGGGCCTGCAGGGATGTCCAATTTATAAAACCTAGTGAAGATAGACGGCAACTACCAGCCAGTGACCGCACAAATATCACCAATAGAAATCCCGCTGGACCAAGCCCAGGAGCTGGCCATTTTTCTGGTGGTCACTGACTCGCTTGACCCAAGTCCCAAGTTAGCACACTATGAGGGCGAGGTGGATTAAATCTCTGAGCTCCCCTCAGAAATGTAACGAGTAAGTCGTTTCTGCCGACTGACTGGTCAGCCACGAGTGAATGATTCGCCGCGATGGCTGCCACATATACTTTGAGCGTGGAAGAGGTGTGCCCCTTATCCAGCAGTTCTTCTAGAAAGGTTAGCACGTGGGACACTTCACAAGAGGACGGGTCCTCGTTCCATGCTGGAAGAGAAGAATGACTATTACGTCATGTAGACGGAGCTCTAGCCTCCAAAATGATCCCATCAAGAGGCCAAACATGATTTGGCCGGGGATGCCAAATCATGCCCTTCGCTTGCAAGAGAAGGTCCTCCCTCAGTTTTATCAGCCAAGGGGCTGCCGATAGCAGCTGAATCAACTCGGGGAACCACATCTGATTCCTCCAGTGGGGGGCCACCAGGATGACTGAGCATGTGGCTTCCCTGACCTGTCTGATGACCTGAGGAAGCAGAGAAACCAGGGGGGAAGACATACAGGCGAGCGCTGGGCCAATTACTCTCAAAAAGTAGATTGGGCAGTGAAAGTTGTCTTCTGAGGCTAAGAGGTCCACCTCTGCCCTCCCGAAGACAGACCAAAACATTTGAACCATTTGGGGATGTAGTCTCCATTCTCCTGGATCTACATTGTCCCTGGACAGCATGTCTGCCCCCTGGTTCAGTCTGGCCGGCTCATGAACTGCTCTCAGTGAGAGGAGTTTGCCCTGTCCTCATAAAAGGAGGCGTCAAGCCAACCTGTGAAGGGAGCGTGACCTGAGTGAAAGTAAAAGGGAAAATGAAGTGACATGTGGCCAAGTATGATGGCCCATACTTGGAATATCCAAGTGCACACACAGTAGTGAACACACACCCGAAGCAGTGGGCAGCCATATTGCTGCGGCACCCGGGAAGCAGTTGGGGGTTTGGCCTTGCTCAAGGGTCTCACTTCAGTCGTGGTATTGAGGGTGAAAGGTTACCACCGTCATGTTGTCCAAATGGACCAGGCCGTGGTGCTCCCTTAAGGCCGGCAGGAAGGTTTTTAGGGCCTGAAAAACCGCCGTCAGCTAGAGGCAGTTGATTTGTAAGAGCTGTTCCAGGTTTAACTAGGAGCCGAACATCGGTCTGCCCTCGTGCAGAGCTCCCCAACTGAGTTGGAGGCAACTGTTGTGACCACCTTCCTTCTGGAGGTCAGTCCCAATGGGATGCCTGATTGAAACAGGCGAGAGGTTTTCCAAGGGGCTACGGCTCTGAAGCAGCGGTGGGTTACCCTGAGATGAAAACATCCTAGGCGCCAAGCGTGGGACAGGACATGGGCTTTGAGCCAGAGCCACTGAGCGGGCTCAGAGGAATCACAGAGGAAGCGGTTGACATGAGGCCGAGCATTCTCTGGAAAGCCCTGTGCGGACGTGAAGTCCCTAATTTGAATGACACCACTAGTTGCTGAGCAGTCAGGGAGTGCACTGAATGAGAAGGATGGGCCCAGCTTGAATGGAGCTTCCATCGATTGGTTTTAATTGGAGGGATGGACAGCGAGGGATTGCTTCTGAGGCTCAGGGTCCAACGTCCCTCTGGGGTGGGGACCTTGGTGCTTCAGAAATGGGTAATGTTTCGCTGTCCAGGGGCTCTGCTGAAACCCAGGCTCAGATTAGGCTGGGGCTGAGGCGACGCTGGCTTGGCAGGCTGCTGAGCGGATGGAGCCTTCTGGTGACTTGAATAAGCCACCGCACTGGAGCGCTTCGGCAGGAAGTGATGTATTGCCTACGATGACTTCTGTGCTGCTGTAAACCTCTCTGCAAAACCATCCACTGCAGGGCCAAACCGTCCCTTAGGAGAGACTGGTGAGTCTAGGAAGATGACCTTGTCGGCATCCCTGATCTCTGTCAAATTCAGCCAAAGGTGGTGCTCCAGTTCCAAAGCCAGGTCAGTTGCTGTGCACAGCTCTCTAAAGGCATCAGAACTCTGGCCAGACTCGTCCATGGTGCGGATAAGTTTGGCCTGGAACACTTGAAGCACCGCCTTCCTGTGGAGCGCTGAGCCAGCCTGGCCAGCCGCTGAGTAAGCCCTGTTTGCTAGGGATGAGGTAGTCCTGCATGGTTTAGATGGTTGCACTGCATGGGCTTTCAACTCATGACATGACATGACGGCTTCCTCCTCAGATGCACCAAAGGAAATCAAGCTGCTCACAGCCGCCAAGGGGTGCTGATCCTCACAAGTGAAGCATACAGGAGAATCAAGGCTTTGGGGGGAGAGTGAAGGATGCGGGAGCTGCGCCAGCTTGATTTCACTCAAGCATAGTGTTAAAGCCCCACTGCTCCGCTGTTTCTTTCTCCTAGAGAAAGAAGAGGAAACGGGAGAGCAGATTGGGTAGGACCACCTTCATTAAAGAAGCCGAATTGCGAGTGGAGAAGGGCGAGACTCATGCTCTCGCAGTGAGAGCATGTCGTCTCAGTGAGTGCAGCCTCTGCATGGGCACTACCTAGACAGGCGATGTCTCTGGAAATTTGCTCTTAGATGGCCGCAGGGGAAGGCTTCTGGCCTTCTTCCTTCTTCGGCTTCTTGCTTTCAGAGTCAGAAAGGAGATGATCTTCGTCACTGAAGGAAAACAATTCTGATGAAATGGCACTCAGGGCCGACTTATATAGAGGTTGGCTCCTCCCCTTTTGGTGGGTTGAAGAAATCAGGCTTCAGTATCAGAGTAAACAGGAGTTTCCCCCATACACTTGTCAATGCAACGAGAGAAACTGCTCGAAAGGGAACAATAAAAACTCAAGAAGTTTTTTTTTGACATGTTTATTCAATATTTACATGGTTATTATATATCTACATGGTCAATGTACAATGTGCTTTCCAGAAATACAATCATTTAACAGCAAGTCTGTAAAATATTGTGACATGAATTTTGCTTCAAATAAACTACAGAAACAACTCCAAAGATAAATACACATGCAAACGCTAGCATAATTTTTTTTTTAATTATTTAAGAAAAGAAAATAATAAACAGATAAATAAGAAGTTTATATAATTGCATTGTTTGACAAGTGATGTTAATCTGTGCTCCCTTGAGAGCCAGTCCACTTTCCATTCTGCATTGAAATGAGAGTTTTAACAGATGAAAGAGAGATCTAGGCCCCAGACAAGACAGACCCTATGCCTCAGAACTCTAACCTCACCTACTGACACTTCTTCCATTCATTTGTGTACACCTTTAAGAGTTATCTTGGCATGGGCATGTCAGTCTGGTGAGGTGAATCCAGGGCTTCCCGTTTCAAGTCACCCTCAGCAGACATGAGAAAGTGATGAGTGTCCTGTGGGGGGACTCTCTTATTCTCAGACTAAACTCAATGAGGAAGGACTAATATGACCTGAATGTCCTGCACTTCTGAACAGAATGCTGTCTCTCTGCGCCTTGTTAAGGGACAATGTTTTGTTTCATCGAGTTCTGAGAGGGGAGGCTGAGAGAGGGTGGAAGGGGACGGGGGGGTCCATGAGAGATTCAACACAGTTGCTGTGGCAACTAGTTTTGGCCCCTTGAGTACACTAACATACAAATCAGGGTCTGGACTGAGGTCCTGGGCACAAAAAAACAACGCAACCGGAGCTATGGACCACCACGAATAGAGGAAAGGAAACGCTAGTGAGTTTTATTCTGATTCACTAAATCACAATGCCAGTTTAAGGATGGAAAAGAAAAGTTTTCCATTGCATGTTTTGTCATTCTTGTGTATTCAAGGCACATGGCAATCTAAAAACAAGAGTAGGTGTTGCAGTGGCTCACGGAGAGGCCAAATTTCCCTGCTTCTCGAGGGCCCAGGACATCTCACTCCTTTTTTCCCCTTCATGTTGTGTGATAGAGAACAAAATTGGTCTGTGTGAATGAAACTCGTAGTCCCCACAGATTCTGACAGTTACCTTTGATTGTGAGAAACAGAACACAAAAAAGATACAATACTGAATTTAAATTTTTTTTAGGATTACTGATAAACTAATGTAGTTTGATTTGTATTAGTTATATATTTTAGTTTGTACAATCATAAGATATTTTATTGCTCAGTTTTCTTTAATTTTATCAGGTTCTCTTACTTTTTGGTCAAATTACCTACTAAAGCTTTGCAAACTGCATTACATTCACAGAATACAGAACAGCAATAGCTGCTTGAGAAAAACAGGAAAAATGCTGACATTTTGTTTTCATGACTTTCTTTGTTATTAGAAAAACTTAAACAAATTCTCAAAAACTATGTGGAAGAATCCTGTACAAACAAAGCTGTGCACGGGACAAGCCCACACAACGCCTAAAATCAGAAATTATATAAGCATCAACAACGCCCTCCAGTGGTCGCAGATGCTCATTATACACAAAAGTATAGCTTATTTTGCATTAAGATGTTGTTACTGTATGGGGAGTACCAAACCTACAAAAATTACAAAATAAATAAATAATGCAACACTAACAAAAATAAAGGATTTTTTATTTTTATAATGAATAAATGATAAAAACAAATTTCCAGTTAATTGTAGTCATTCATTTTTGTATTATTTTCCCTTTATTATATTCTTTATTTGTAACTTCGTTCTTCATTATAAAATTTTTTTTATTTATTTTTAATTTTCGCAAGTTTTTTCCTCCATAATTATAATCTGGTCAGACACAAAAAAAGACTCAGAAAACTAAATCCAGTTTCAATCAGATTTAATTTTACAACTGTTACAACAGACGTCAAGGACAATATTTAGACTTGACGTCACATTTCACAGAAAGGAAATAAAAAAAATTTAAACAAAAGAAACAGCTCAAATGAGGAGAAAACAGAAATGGTTCACTTCTGCTGTGACAAACTATTATAACACACAGATATTACAGTCAAAAAGCACTGAGGTTTCTACAATTGTCATATCAAAACATTCACATTAGAACGGAAAACCTCTCCTGGTCGGCAAAAACAATACAGATGTCAGTCACTGTGTCAAAGCAAATTCAGCTATACAAACACAAATTCAGACCGATTAGCTTCAGTCCAGTTCAGTAATAGGTTGCCAGATCACCATGATAAACAACCGCACATGAACTCAGGGGCCCATTTATTTATATACAATAGTATATATAGTTGTCATTAGGAGCATCTGTGTTAGTGACACTGTAAATGTTGTTGTGGATTTAACAGAAGTCTCAGTTGTTGTGACTTTAATAAATTAAATAAAACATTTAAGAATGAGCTTTTTCTTCAGATAGCACGTAAGATTCCCAATTTGATAATTTAATTTAATTTAACAAAGTAGGCCTATATTTGTACTTCTGAATTTTTTTTTTTTAATTGCTTGGCAATATGGTAGAAAACCAACAGCTAAATTAAATGATGTTTGGTCTGTGGGGGGCATTTGGTATAAAGCATTTGTGGCCAAATACAGAGGCTAAATATCCTCTGTATTTAAATATCAGAATCCTAATTATTGGTTCATAAGTGAAGTGAGGTGTGGCCAAGTATGGTGACCCATACTCGGAATTTGTGCTCTGCATTTAACCCATCCAAGTGCACACACACCGTGAACACACACCCAGAGCAGTGGGCAGGCATGTGCTGCGGTGCCCGGGGAGCAGTTGGGGTCTCGGTGCCTTGCTCAAGGGTCTCACCTCAGTCGTGGAAGAGAGTGCTGGCTATTCACTCCCCCCACCGACAATTCCTGCCGGACCAGAGATTCAAACCCACAACCTTTGGGTTACAAGTCCGACTCTCTAACCATTAGAGATATACATTATATACTGTAAAAAAGGACTGCAGCAGGATCAATGATAAAAAGAAGTGATTAATAGTCAATGTTTTGCGCATTTTTGGAATGTCAATGTAAAAATATCATGTTATCATTAGTACTGTCAGATGATGCTTTTGCTTTACCTGAACATGCACAAACAGATTAATTTATTTAAAAAATTTAAGATTTATGAAAAAAAAAATGCATGTATAATCTGCTAAGAAGTCTTAAGGGTCAGCGATACAACAGGGTGTCTTCATTTTCCATACATTTCCTTCCTAAAGATACGTAAAGCTTTATTTCATAGATGTACCATAGAGATCAGTGTTGAGCTAGGAAAATTTTCTTTTTCAGTGTCATTTCCTGGCTTTGGCAGAGTTTAGCTGGCATTTTTAATCTGTTTAAGGCCTGACCATGAAGATCAGCTGTCTGTGTGTGTCGGCCAAGCATGACAATGAAGAAGATACTGTAGCTAATCTACAGATGCATTTAATGGGCCATTGTAGACCATTTAAAAACATTCAAGAACTGCATTCCACCGCAGCTCTCTGTCCCTAATAAAAATTGACAAATGGGCTCAAGGTTAATAACATGAATTTAAAATCAGTTAAGCAAAATAATTTTAAGTAAATGATTTTAAAATCTAGAAATCTTTAAACCCTATTTTAAATTTCCTAAAGATACGTAAAGCTTTATTTCATAGATGTACCATAGAGATCAGTGTTGAGCTAGGAAAATTTTCTTTTCCAGTGTCATTTCCTGGCTTTGGCAGAGTTTAGCTGGCGTTTTTAATCAGTGTTTAAGGCCTGACCATGAAGATCAGCTGTCTGTGTGTGTCGGCCAAGCATGACAATGAAGAAGATACTGTAGCTAATCTACAGATGCATTTAATGGGCCATTGTAGACCATTTAAAAACATTCAAGAACTGCATTCCACCGCAGCTCTCTGTCCCTAATAAAAATTGACAAATGGGCTCAAGGTTAATAACATGAATTTAAAATCAGTTAAGCAAAATAATTTTAAGTAAATGATTTTAAAATCTAGAAATCTTTAAACCCTATTTTAAAATGTCAGCTCTGCTGGTATTTAATATTTATTTATATATGGAATTTTTAAGTAAACACTAATACACTGAACTAGCAAAGAACGAAACACCAATATATAAAATATACCTGTATAAATTTTTCTGTTTACAAAAAGTCGCACGTACACCACTCTACTGAGAATAAGTGAAATTGAAATTGTCTGGTACTGGTGCCAACCAAACTGTAAAAATACTCAAAATCCTAGCTGCAATGAGTGTACAATGAAGCTCAGCTTTATCATGCTTGTTAAAAGCTGATAAATATATACCACTTGGTACAGTACGGTTCACTCGACAGTAAATAAAACCCTAACCTGTGCAAAGTTGGGCAAAAGAGAAAGGGGTTTGCCAAGGAAACAAGGACAAAATCTTTTTATGGCCATTTTTGTCTGTCAATGGATGTAAAATCAGTAACTTCTTTTTAAAGCAACTGAACTTCATTAAATGATAAAAATGAATTCTCTGTTACCATTCATATCAACTGAACATAAGAAAAAAGGTAAAAGAAGGGAAAAACTGAAGAAAAAAAATCCCAAACATGAGTTGTTTAAAGGAAACCAGATTTAAAGTCAGTCCTCTTCAGACTGCACCTTGTTTTGAATCTGTTCTGCTCAGTACGATGATATGTCCATCTAACTCTTCTGGAAAAAGAACATAAAAATATCAATTTTAAATACAATGTATGATTTCTTAACATTTATACATCAAGGATTTAAGTGAGTTACATTTACCATACTCGACTGCTTCCCGCTGTGAACTGAAGTGACCTCTGCAATTTGCCGTTGTAACTTGTGAGAGGTGGAGAGGGTGTCATCTTCACCGTCAAGGTCTCGTTCCGACTCTCGCGCCCTCTTACCAGTCACACTTCCTCCTGAGTGCAGCATGTGTCCTGCTAAACACCACACAGAATATTGTAAACACAAAAATAGGAATATATTAACACACTTCCTTAATAAAGCAACTTTTTAAACTTTGGATATGTTGTAAAAAACTATGATATTCATGTAACACGCAGTACACATTTCCATGTCTGTTACCTGAATGTTGTGGACCTGTCATGTCGTGTGAGACATTACATTTGTAAATTCGACTGCTGTGCCCTGTGTCGGTCATGTGATGGTATCCTGGAAAACAAGCAAGAGAAAAGAACTGCATGAGAAAACAGATCTTACGCAGATCTTATTTGCTAATAACAATTATTTACACCTATAAATCTATTAGTGTATTAAATTAATGTGAAAAGTGACACCTGATTGCTGCTGCTGCTGTTGTTGCTGAATTCCACTTGGTCCCTGCTGCTTTTCACTGTCAAATTTCAGCAGAATACTTCCACTCCTTTTACCACTGGAACCGCCTGATACAGCTGGTGCTTTCAGGATGTCAGTTTATGTCACATCAGTATGCACATGACACACACACAAAAAAAACAAAACAAAAAATATATATATTTTAGGGACGGAGGAATGCAGGAGGCACAGCTTGCAGACAGGCGGACGCACTTTAAACTGGACAACAGGTCCCGCCTGTGCTGAGACACTACGGAGATTCCTACTACAACACGTATTAGAAAGCAGAGGCAGTGACCAGGCCCTCCCAATCCCTCCAGATCCAATGACAGAGCACCCTCCCACAACCCCATCCCACCGGCTTCAACAAATCGAAACTCAGGGCTGAGTGAGAGGTTCAGGTTCTCTCCCTGCCCCTCGCACTGCCACTGATCGCTTTTGAGACGACAGTGATCCCATGCCAAGGCAGAGAAACCTGCTAGCCGCCAAAGGAGAAACGCAGTATACTGTCCTCTGCTGCTGGGTGGCCCCCTCATTTTGCCAAAAGAGACTAGAACCCTTTTGCCAGGAACAGTCACATCCTGCCTGAACAAGAAAAAAGCCAGAACCACATTACATGTACAGAAGCAGATCTGAAAAATTGCTGTATGACCTACGGACCGTGATTGACTTCATTGGGACAAAGGTACGACTCTCTCTCAATGCCAGGACTCTCATCTCTTGCATAGGCAGTGCTGCATTCAATGCCTAGAGGACCGCTAAACATTTCAAAAAGAGTCTGATAAGCAGGAGTTGTCCAAACCTAGACTGAAGTCATTGGCATTGGCTTTGGGCCCCACCTCCCATCATGCTCTCTGGGAAATGCAATGTGGCTCTCTATGCATTGAAAACAGGCCAGGCTTCATATATATTTCCCTACCAAGCAGATGAAATCCCTTTTGATGAAACGAGATGCTACCGAGCTAAAGTACAGGCTACTGCATTTCCCGCTGATAAAGCATCAAGCTTCAACCACATTCACAGCTAACAGGTTTCCAAATGCTTTGGCTAAGAATGGCTTTCGTCTTAAAAGCAATCAACCACAATTCACAAAGAGGAAAGGGAAAGCTGAACTTTTCACCCAATCCGTGAGACGACCACACAGAAACACAAAAACATATACGCTAACATGCGTATGAGCTATGATAAATACAATGACAGCAATGTTTACAAGCAGACATATGCTCCTTGAAGGGGCCTATAATGAGGACAATGTGTTGGGAAAGTACCAAAATCCTGGAACACCAAATTCTGGAACTGGAAGGCCTTAGGTGGAAAAGTTAGAACACAAAGAGGCTACATGGGACAGGTTCATGTCTAGACCTCAACTGATACTATTCTGCATCTCAGTCATATATAAAAAACAAATGTTATGTATATGACCCCCAACTGTATAAAATCCCTTGTCCCTTATAAAATTACCCTTCCAAATGACCCAGAAATTCTTTACATTCCTCTGATCGAGTTACTTTAAAAAATATTTCCTCATTCTATTAAACTGTCCTTCTGTGTGGCTAATCTTTAATGCATTCTAGCATTTAAACAAGGGCCTTGTAGGGAAAGCATGATATTCAGCCTGGAATTAGTGTGTATTTTTAGAAGCATTACCAACCTAATGAAATCGCCGTTAGGGTCAGTGCGCCTGCCGAAACCCACTGGACAGTAGCAATGAAAGAACTGTTGAAAGAAAGAGCTACAGGAGAGCCACATCCAGCTGCCTGCATTTACACTCCAGTCAGCATCCAACAGGAGCTCCTCGAACACCTGTCAATCATAACTACCATTATTCTCCAGCCAATCAAAGATGGTGGTTATTAGGTCATTTAGGCATATTAAAAATAGACTTTTACACTACAGTTCGAAAGTTTGGGGTCAGTCTGTAATTTTTTATACTAAACTCTTAAAATGAAGAAAAAAAACATCAAAGAATAAAAAGAATTTACATGGAAATAAAATACCTCAACAACCACAGCTGATAAAATATAGGTCACTATTATCATTATTAGTGTGACTTAAACACTCAAGGTCTATAAACTCAAATGTATCCATCCAGCATATTTTTATATTCCTCCTTAACAGGGGCTGGCAACCCTTCTGACATGAAGTGCCATTTTTTTAATTTTTCACAGTTTTAAAATCTCTGCTCTATGAAATAAAAAATTATATTTTATCTCCCATGTGTAAGATATGCACCTTCATGCCCTCTTCCCAACTGATCCACAGGTCTCCACGAGTGAGAAAACAAGCGACAGCATGACGGGCCAGGTGGTGGATCCAGCCCTCCTGCCTCAGCTGGGTCATAATGGCATCAATCCATGGAAAACCTGTCTTAGCTTCAGCCCATTTGGCTAAAGCATCTGGGTTCTTGTCCCAGGGGATGCGCACACAGATCGGGTTGCCTTCCATCTTATCAAATCTTGGGTTGTTGGTGGCGGCAGTGTAGAAAAATTCCCTCCACAGCAGCTGACCATAGAGGGAGAGTGGAGGAGTGCTGGTTTTCTTTACCTGCAAGGAGAATTTCACACGAATCTAGATATTATATACATTTTTATTTATTAAAAAACAGGATACTACCACATGATTAATATACAGACAATTTTAGCTGAATTCCCAGCAAAAACTGAACTATATAATTATATAAGATACTATATATATATATATATATATATATATATATACACACACACACACACACACCATTATATACATAGATGGATAGTGCAGTCATGTCTGTACCTTCCTGTAGAGGTCTGTGAGTTTGAAATAGAAGAGGCGGCAGGAGAGGCAGCCAAAACGGAGGTAGGGACTCAGGCCAGTCGGACTGGCTAGCAAAGAATTGGCATTCATTCTGGGTCTTTCAAAATTTGCAACCCAAGCCTGTAAAAACATTTAGGAGGGAAAAGGTAAAGTCTAATCTACAATTAAGGAGTACATGTTGGACTAACAATTGTTTGCTATTAATTTTCACTTTCAGTCTGTCCTTTTATTTCTTATAGTTCTTTTAAAGATTGTTACACATTAGAATATTGTATTTCAAAAAAGGTCCATCAATGCATCAGTAACTGCAAAACTTGGCCAATAACTGCACATTACATAGTGAAACTCATGGTCGTAACAACACTTTCTGTTGTATTTGTTTTAGCTGTTAAACACCACCAGGCATATGGCCACAGGTAATCCGAGATTGAGACCACTGATGTACTTATATATATATATATATATATATGATCACACCTTTCGCTCCAGATGCCTTTCAATCCTTGTTAACGCCTCTGTTTCACCTCCTGGCCAGACAGCAGATGGTAGTCCCTCAATGTCAAATCCTGAGTCAAGATTATGTAGGTTAAAAAAAACTATACTAATCTTGGTGGGTTCTTCTTGTATTGCAGTTTATGAAACTTATGCATTTGTGTTAGGTCACAGGAAATGGATACAGTGATGTTATCATTTAGGTCTACTACTTCATTTTAACAGTGTCGTTTACTCACCCTCAAGTTGTTTGAAACCTGTATGGGTTTCTTCTGTTGAACACAAAAGAAAAGATTTTTAAAGAATGTTGGTAACCAAATAGCTGCTGGTAGCCATTGACTTCCAAATTACGGAAAAAAATACACAAAATATGTTTCAGTTAAATAATTAACAGTAACAAGTAACAAAAAAAAGGAAATCTGCTTAGTTTCATTTTTATGGCCGCACCACAAGTTTAAGGAAACAGATGGCTGAAAGCGCATCCTGTTTGTTTTCTTTATTTTAGAAAAGGCACAGTTTTGTTCTTATTGTGAATATACATTAAAAAAAAAAGTAAACCCTTTACAGTTTCAAATGATGTCAGATTTTTTTTTTTTAACGCTGTGATAAGGGTGAAGAACAGTTTACGGTTCAGGAAATATATAGATTTAAGAAAATTGCTGCAAAACTGAGATACGAACTTCAAGCAGAGGATGGGTTTGAAACGACAGTCTATTTTGCTCCCACATCTTGAAACTTACTTTGAGCTCAATCCTTCCTTCATACTTTCTAATGAGTGTAGTGAGGATAGGCACTCTTAATTTGAATGGGGCATGAGATGCATATAAACGGGCACTGTTATTTGAATTAATAAAGCAAAAAATGTTTTATGTTGTGTTCATTCAGGAGACGCATAGTGATGGTCTAAATGAAACTGACTGGAGAAAAGAATGGGAAGGAGTGGTGCTGTGCTCCACTTCAGCTAGAGAAGGGGTGGATGTATTATTTGCCAAGCATTTTACTCCTGCCTCTTTTGAGGTGAAACAACAAATTCCTGGTAGACTTATTGTTATACAAACACAATTTGAAAAATTCAATATTGTGTTTATCAATGTATATGCTCCCACTAATGGCGATGAGAGATTTTTTTTTTAATGATTTTAATGGAATTTTGCAGAGCTATAATTCAGATGAGCATTGGTTTTTAGGTGGTGATTTTAACTGTACAGAGAATTATGTAGAGATTGGAATCATGCTATGCTGTGCTTAAATATAATTCTGTAGTAAAAAAAAAAAGTAAGGTAAAGTCTAGCTAAACAGTTAAAAACTTGAATGTAAAAAAAAAATAATTTTGAGCAGATGAGCTTACTCAATTTGAGCTTAACCTAAAAAGCGTAACTGACCAATCCTTCCATAGGAACTATTGCCATCTACCATTGCCATCTACAAAGTCTTGTATTGTCTTTCCACCATAAAGGCAGATCCACATTCCATGGACTGATTCCAATAAGAGTCAAAAATACCAATAAGCACATTTGTTTATAAAGTATTTTATTTTACATTTTAAAATTGTCTACATTGGCTCAAATTCCAAAATACAGTGAACAATGTAGAGAGTAGATGGTACTGGGATGTCCTGATTTGACTTGACCAGTTACTTGGCCTGAAAAGTTTGAGAACTACTGATCTAAAGCAAAGCCCTGAGGCTTTACCTGATCAACAAGCTGTCCCTTAAACCTACAGATGCTCTGAGTTTCCATTCACAAATATGTTCATTCACGACCCGTTTAAAACTTTAGAAGCTTAACTGCTATTTCCTCTCTACACATCTGCCTTACCAGCTGAAGGGACATTAAGTACTACAGCCTTTACTGAGAAACGCTGCTCTATGAATAAATCAGCAGATGACACTTGGTGCACTTGGATAAAGGTCAGATCATTTTTGTTTTCACTTAAAAAAAATATTCTAAAATGTCAAAAGCACTAGTACGTTATTTAGTTAAAATTAAATTACATAAGAATTTTTTTTTCCATTTAAAATTATTAAAAACTGATTTTTTTTTGTATTCTTCAATATTTAACAAAATATATAATTTATCTTTTTACATAAAGGAACACATTTTGGTACTGTGACAGTTCTTGTTGCAACAAACAAAAGGGATGTTTTCATTTTAACTGCTCAAAGTTCTTTCAGAGTACTTTTACTTGACATTTAGAAACTTTCTCTGTAAAAGCAAAACCCTCTGATCCAGACCAGTAACTTTGAGTCAGCAATCATGTTCACCCAAATACAGTAGACAATTTTGTATGTAAAATATGAGTAAAGAGCAGACAGGACAGAAGTTTCCAAAAGACCCACTGTCACGGTAGGCTTCCTCTACAGAATATTTAGTTCTTTCATTAATGAGGTTATAGTATTTATCTGAAAGACCCGTCCGACCTTCTACCGGTGTCTGTTATTTGGTCCTAGAGTCCTGACTGAGTCCACTAAGTCAGACTGTCTGCAACCAAAGCCCTGATTAGAGAACAGACAGGGACAAAGCTCCCTGTGCTCCAGATACTGGCCGACCGTTCAACACACAAGCACACGCAACTGCACCACCAACACACACATAAACAGACACACTAACACCTCCATTCATGAAATCCAAAAGAACACAAAAACTAATAGCTACTGGGAGCACAAGAATGGAAAACTCAAACCTAATTTTCCTAACTCTGCCCTGTCATCCATTATACCTTATGTAACTGGCCTGGCCTAGATTTGCAGCATGCATGGTCTCCACCACTGGAGGGCATAAAATTAGCCCAGTGACCTCTTTTCAACCACAACAACACTCTTAGCACCTAGTCTGAGAAAAGACCACACTTGTATTCCCTTTCCCCCAGATCATGTGAAAACAGACATAAGACAATAAGGTTCAGTCTTTTAAAATAAAGTCTAGAATTACTGGCCATGAACTAGTGAAAAACTATCCGTCCAGTTTCTATGAATCCAAGATAACAAGTTATGGGCTACAGTTCATATTATCAGTTACTACACAAAATGGGTAACTAACTAGGTACACGTGCCTCATCCGTTAAGGTAGATAAAGTGCTGAAGTTCAGCAAAACCAAACAAATTAGGTCTGTTTCACACATTCTGCAGAGTGTACACAAGAGAACTGATTAAATGTATACTTTGAATACAACAGAAAAGTCAAGGCTGGATTTATTTGATCAAAAATACAGTAAAAACAGTAGTATTGTGAAATATAATTACAATTTAAAATTATGGTTTTCTATTTTATTATATTTAAAATGCAATGTAGTCCTGTGATGGCAAAGCTGAATTTTCAGCAGCCAATAATCCAGTCTTTATTGTCTCATGATCCTTCAGAAATCATCCTAATATGTTCATTTGGTGCTCAAGTAATATTTCTTATCATCAAATGAAAAAACGTTGTGCTGCTGAATATTTTTTTGCAAACCATAACTTTTTTTTCAGGATTATTTATTAAATAGAACGTTAAAATTAACAGCATTTATTTTTTAATAGAAATCATTATAAATGTCTTTACGGTCACTTTTGGACAATTTAATATGTCCTTGCTAATTGTAAGTAACACTAGTAATTCTTACCAACAAAAAATCTTTGAACAGTAGTGTAAAAGTAACAGAGCTGCGCTTTACACTTAACATAATATGATAGGTTATCAAATTGAATATATGCTTTAATAGGACATAAACTAATACTGCATGTCATGAACACTGATATTGAATAACAGGTCATAAACTGCTAGAGAACTACTACAATCTTGATCTATATAGGGAGGGGTAATATAAATTGGACGCTGGAATGGCAAAAATAGACAATGCTGCTTCAGGAATGCTTCTGCTGCAAGTGCAGCATAAATACTATAATGGTTGCAAAAAATGAACATTGTGTCTTTCACTTGCGGCAGACAGAAGATGCATAACCTGGCCATTCCAGTTTTGCATCTCAAGTCAACACTAATTATATTAGTGTTATGTGAATGTCATTCCCAGAACATGGTAACATGAACCAATAACAACTAGTTATCATTAACTCAATCGGTTACATCAGTTCTATCTGTGTCAATGGATATCAGTTCATTGAGTGACTGGTAATTGTCTACTGCATGACATCAAGCATGTTTTTGACATGATGCACTGACATGAAGTAACATGTCTCTCTTGAGGATGTAATGATGCAGTGTAGCATGCATGATAGCAGTGAAGACAAAGAATCCTAACAGCAGCTTACTCAATTACACCACTATTTTTAAAGGCGATTTAGAGCAGACAACACAATGTGACCTGCAATCTCCCTGCATTAAGGTACCTAAACTTGGTGCTCAACAGGGGTTTTAAATAAGACTGCAGAGGCCATCTGAACACTGAAGCTGACAATGACAAATCCAGTTACAGTTGCTTCATCTTTTAATCTGGCGAATTAACTCTCTTTAACATTCAGTCAGATCATAATGCATCCAGTAGTTGAGGAGAGCTGAATGACAAGCTCTGTGACCAGATTGTCTGATTGTCTTCTGAGAGCAAAGCATCTGCTGGTCGACGACTTGGCCTACTTTCCTCTTGACTGACTGTTAAGGCACTGGATCAATCTGCATACATGGCCATGTGGTCAAATTACTTTATCTGTGGGTATTCACTGGTTTAAAATAGAAACACAAAGACATATCTGAAGACAAAAAAAGAGATCCTTTTAGTGAAGCTCAAATAGAGCATTTCTTAAATTTAACCATTGTGTAAATCAGTGGTTCTCAACTGGTTTTGCTTCAGGACCCCAAATTTACATAGGCATAAAATGGTCACCCAACAACAGAAATGCAATTAAATTACAAACTGATGGCATTGTCTGTGAGACTTTTCCATTCATATTTTACAGACATTGGCATCATAATATCCTACATTTAGGCAGTAAAAATGGGTTGTCGTTTTTAACTTTTGCTCAGAGACCATTTGGTTAAGATTTGAGTCTTTTTTTTGTCCTGTTTCCCCTTCATGACAGAGAAATCCTTCAAATCTAGACTTAAAACCTGTCAATCTGAGGAGTCATTCTGTGACATTAAATTCTTGGCTTTTCCTCAGACTGACTCCGGATGTGTGACGTCTACACTGTTCTGAATTCCGTCATTTAAAGCAATACCATACGGTCTCTCATGAATAATGTGACATTCATAGAAATCGACCTGTCAATCAAGGACATGTCTACAGACCATGCTCGAAAACAACCATCATACACATGCAAAGAAAGTGGCCTCAAGGAGGCTGAGGATTTATCTTGATTTATCTATGTGCAAGGTTACGCCGCCGTCTCTGAGGCAACTTATCGGTTGTCTGTGCTCTGGGAAGTAGTTACAGTAGGCCACCTCTACCTGGGATTGATCTAGAAACTTGTACTGGCAGACCATCTGCTACAACTGTCCTGCATGTGCACAACATTGTCAAAGGTACTCGTCACTACTTTTTTCCCAAAATATTTTAGCCAGCAAACCCACATTAGTAATATATGGTGTTATATATATTTATATAATATTTGAGTGTTATATATAATTTATATAATATATATAACACTCAAACTTATGCATACTGACATACAGAGCACTAATGTTAAGCAAACGTTAAGCAAATATGTAAAGTAAAAGCTATTTATACAGTACATGGTTCTCATTTATATATTACAGGACTACTGTACCACTATAGATTCATTTCCATGCAATCTGAGTTTATCACACATTACCTAAATAGTGCATCCTATAC